GATACACAAACACAAAACACTTCCATAATGCTTTCACATGTCATTCAAGTGTGAAGTGAAATGCTATTCTGTCAGCATTTTCACTTTGTATGACACAGCCTTAAACATTACTGTGCACCTGATGATTCATTATTTTGTCTGCTAGAAAGAAAAAAAACAAAAACAAAACAAAAGACAAGAAACCTTTAGAAAGTGCCACGGTGGCATCGATAAGGTGTGTATGCTTGGTGAGGAAAAACCCCACTCCAGGGTGGAAAATTACCCCCACTTAAGGCTGGTTAACTGACTGCTGGCTGATAAATATTTCAATTTCTGACAGATACTTGTCACAAGCTTCTTCTGTGACCTAACATGTATGTGCTGTACATATTGATAATAAATTGCAGCCCAAAGAAATGCAATTTATTATCAATATGTACAGCACATACATAACGGAAAAATGCAGTATAAAAATATCCCCTTTAAAACTGCTTGGTAATGTATGCGCTATTAGTTTGCTAAAGCACTACAGACTTGAAAACATGTCATAGATCTTCAGCTAATAAAATGACTAGGCTGCTCACAAGGGCTGTATTCAAGAAGAGAAATATTTGCATTTCAGCGATTTTTCCCCTAACATAACCTGTACTTAATGTAGGCAGTAGTCACCTGTTGTAAGCAGTTTGGCTAGAGATACACGGTGTATGAATTTACTTTGGAAATCAGGTCATTACATGTCAAAGTAACAAAGACGAGCTTGTTATACTAGCTACCTTTGGTCAAGACAGCCCTTTAAATTATGACCTTACAGTATTTGCTCATCGAGTTAGCTGTCTGGTCATGTCCCCTGTGATCTAGGGATTCTGTCTGTGTGAAAGATTGAAATGAAAAGAGCTTCTTCACACTGGTCAAACCTATGGTTTTTTGACTGGATGCCATCTCAGCCTACCAAGTACAATGTTGCTGAACTTGATTCAACATTGTGTGTACTGCAGTTTGTCCCTGCTGGTTTGCTAAAAGTGGCTAGACAGCCATCTGTAAATATCAGACCATTGTCAGTGTAAACAGTGCAGATAAATCTGTACGTCGCGGTTTCGGTTTTGCCTTGTATGCGATCAGATGATAATTCATTTATTTTAAGGGTGTAGCATTTCTTTAAACCCATGGTTCAGTTCATCTCTCATTTTTCAGGCAGGTACGAATCTAGAGGAAATAACTATTTATGCCACAGTTTTTGATCATTTGATCATAAACAAAATAAAATAAATCCAATTTTTCTTTTGAATTTTCAGTACATTTCATACTTGAATGAACTTTACCACACTCAATGTTTTAACAGCACTAGCAGCTCCAGTTGGGTATCACAATACACAAAGATAAAACCACTGTAAGTTACTGTGGGAGCAATTTTGGTCTCGGTTTTCAAATTTACTTTTAAAGTATGCACATATGTGATGCCCTTTCAAGCCCAGTTTTATAAACAGGAAATGTTTTTTTACAGCATTGAACAGATTAGCCCTGTAGTGTTATAAACATACAATGAAACACACATACTATAATGTGTACTTTACACAACATTAAATTAAACAACATCATGGGCCTTATTAATATAATACATGTAGTAGAAATGTAGGTTCCTATTACATACTACATCTTACTGAATTACTCTGCAAACTGGAGGCACAGTCATCTATCATCAATTAAAATGAAAAAGAAAACCATAAGTAAAAGCACTACTGTCAAATTTCAAAGGCTCAATCAATTCTTGTTAACAACAATTTCAAAATGCATTTCAGTTCTGAGACTCCAGTTACCATAATCAATACCAGAAGCTTTTATTAGCTTAGGTTAAGCATACCATTAAGTGTATGAGACCAGTTGATCTACAGATAAGCACAGCCAATAAAATTACTGTTAAACATTTAATATACACCATTTTAAAAATGATTATGGTACCAACTGCAATTTAAAGAATAAAATTAAAAAAAAATACAGTTTCTTTGGTACAAACCTCTGGAGACACTATTATGGATAATAAGGCTGCAGAACAATTACCAATAACCAGCACACATCATCATCATCACATCCTACACTTTGGGCTTGTCTTTGTCATCACGCATGTACTGATATATATGTGGTATGGGTAAGAAGTCTTAATCGGTATGAAATTATTTTGACAAAGCTGACCATTTATCTAAATTGGATACTGTTCAAAAGCCATCATCTTCCTCTATTACAGTGGAGAGGATATGAATTTAGTTAACAGCTTCAAGGGCAACAACACGCAAGTCCTGCAGTAAAACCTTGCTCTTGTATTAGGAGGCAGATTCAGAGTGATAGAACCTTATGAAGGAGTTACCCTGGAGGCTATTCTACATTGAAAAGAATAATGTCAAGAAATATTTATTTTGATTATTAACGTACAGTACTTTAAAACCAATTTATATGCTATACAAATACAAAAAGCTATGCTTTGAGATTGTGGTCACTGGCTCCGGCACTAGATTACATGTAACAGTTTCTCATTATTAGTCAAAGAAAAGAAAAAAGAACAGGAAATACTTTTGTCAACTTGACAATTACATACACTGCTACCATTTCCCCAAGACTGCATTAGATCTTTAGTTTTGATTTTAACTGTGAGAGAACACAAAGTCACACCCATGATACTGTCACATCAACAATAACCATAACGCATAAATATGATGATGGATCACTTTGATATCGCCAAGCAACACCCATGTGGCGGGTTAGAAAGCTGACTTCTGCTATATATGGTCGTCCACTATAGCCAAGGTACAGAAAAAGTTGTGTCGCCTGTGAGAGCTCGGAGTGTTAAACCAAACATTTTTTTAACCAGCTAGCCACTGGGTGGGTCACCAGAAAGATGGCGTCATCACAGAGGCAACAGATGGCTAGTGTGTCCGCAGTGGAAGAATGGGTGGGTGGCCAACATCCAAACTACACACTAAGCGAGATCCACACATAACACACGTACGATTTACCAGAGGTAAAACCTTCTCGCCACAAAACGTCTCAAAGAAAACAACTCTTAAAATGCCCTAATAAGTAGAAATGGTGCGCCCAAGTACAACTGACGCCTTCTAAAGCGTACAAAAGGACGAGAAATATGAATTTTAGGTTTTAAAGAAACTGCAACGCTCGTTCACACCGCCCTTCTTATCTTTAACTCGTCACGGGAAAATTATAACCCGCCTAACAGCCATGCTAACAGACAGTCAAAAAAAGAGACGCAGGAGAACCGCCTGATCAGCCGAGGCAAGTCAGGAAAATCGCCTCATTGTTTGGTTAAGACTCGAAAATCTAGACCAATCTTTGCGGTTCCATTTATAAGCCTTGCTAAGTTTGCACAGTTTGTAAACAGTGCCCGGTAGAGCCTGATAATTTTCTTTAGGGGGAGGCAGACTTTCTCGAAAGACTTTCTATGATAAGCACACACTAGTTTTTTCTTCAGCACAACTGAACAGCAACTGCGGAAGCGGCACTAAAATAGAGGTCGGCTCGGGGAAAGGCTAACTTAGCTACCGTAAGCTACCATCGCTAGCTTTTAGCTTCGCTAGCACGGCCTCGCTCAGCTCCGGGCAACTTTAAAAAAATATTTCCATCACTTTTAAAAATAACAGTGCGAAAGAAACAACATTTCATCATAGTCGGATATCGCAGAAAGTTGTTTACCTTCAGTTTATGTGGCTAGCAGTTGGGTTTTTCAGTGTTTCTCGGACCAAAGTTGTTTTTCCGACCAGCCGACTCGCTCGCTGCTTCCTCCCGTCTAAATCTGATACAATGAATTACTTGACGGGAGCGAGCCGCTAAGGTTTGTAGTTTCTAGCAGAGGGGGAGGGGTGGCGGGCACGAGCCTGAGAGCCACACCTGCGCGGGCACGACTTGGTATGAACACTTGTGGAAATGTGTAATTTCAGGGTACTATGTGAGCCATAAACACAGTCTATTTCACAGGTGGAATTAAAAAAAAAAAGACTTTCACTCAGGTTAACATGTGTTTTAAAACAGCGTAAGTGTTTCTATCCAACCAAAAGACTTTTACAAGGGTTTCCAATTACAGGTAATCTAAAATAATCTTACTTAAACCACTACGCGGTGTCCAAAACGACTGACTCCAACATTTCCTTACACCTTAACAGTAACTCGTTTTCCTTAGGTTCCAGCTAATTGTAGCTTTGGGCTAAACAAGTGACAGTGGCCATTACTGTACTGGTCCAGTATAAAATAAATGATGGGGTTATGCCCCTACGAGCGAAAAATATTTTAAGAACCGAGTTAATTGAACCCAAGTTCTAGTTTTAAGGTCCAATTCTAAACAGAGCCAGAGCCTAACAGGAAAAACTATGTGCTTACTGCCCCACCTGGCGGTCAATTTAAGAAAAAACAAGCCAATTCAGAGGCAGGGAGACGAAATTGTGTAAAAATGTTCCTGTAAATATGAGAAACAAAATAAATGTTACACTACAGGTTTTCCTCACCTCTGGCAATATATAATATCTGCCAAATTAATCACACTTTTTTACTTTACTAGGAATTAAGAGGTTAAGTATTAGCCAAGTCCTGCTAATAAATACTACTGTGTGATCACCTCTATAAAAGCAAAGGCTTTGGTAGTATTTGTGTTAATGCAATGCCAAGGAGGAAGTGCATCAACAATGATCTTAAAGAAGCAACTGTTTCTGCCCTTCATTCTGGTAAGGGTTATAAATTCATCATTATACATGAGAAGGATTAGTCACTAGTGGAAAACATTCAAAATAACTGACAGTCTTCCCAGGAGTAGACGCCACAGCAAATTCACCCATCAGGGTTGGACTGTGCAATGCTCAGGAAAGCTGAAAAAAAAATAAATCTAAATTTAGGATTCTAAAGGTCTGATGTGTGACTTATAGTGACATGTAAAAACTTTTTCACATGACTACTGAGGCCCACAAATTCAATAGTAGGTCCACAGCAGGGTACCAATTACAACAAGAGTAATAAACCATTCACTAACATTTCATACAATCGCCTTTTATTTCATATTGAGATGAACAAATATATTTGAAAATCAACAGAAGTCTGTGCAAATGGCACAGTACAGAGAAAGAAAGATGTCCTTAGTGTGAACGAGATCTACTGGAGCAAAAGTAGAGACAGAGAAGGAAAATGGAAGTAATGAAAAGCAAGAAAAATAAACCTTGTGGGTGATCAACTCTGCCAAAACACAACAGTCTCATCTTTCTTAACCATTTTTATCCAAAGCTCATGAAGTTTGGTGTTTCCCAAAACAATGACATTTTTCCTAGGAATATGTTGTCTCACAAAGTGTCTTAAAGACTTGACAACCTTACGTGTACAGCATCCCCCAAACACCCAAATGTACCTTACAAGTGATAACCCAGCCATATCAAGCAGTGATTATATTTAATGTCATTGTTACAGCTCTCTTTTCTCAGCTCCACATTTGTAAAAACACTCATACTGGAAAATTAAGACAAGAAAAACAATCAGATTAATAGAGGCAATAGTTCTAAAAGAAGTCTTAAATTCTGATGTAACAACACATGAAGCCCTTCAGTTACTCGTCTTCCAATTTTTTTTACCATGGGCATACAATTTTCATCCATCTCTCATGTGTCTCAAGTCAAGGAGCTTGTTTAAGACCTGAAAAAAATCTAACATAAAATTATGTAACTGGACATCCACTTGGGAAATGATTTGTGAGAATACATTTAAGGATGAATGTAAGGGTGGAGTGAAACAAGCTTTAAAAAAGTCACCATGCCCAGCTGAAGACATGATACATGTGAACAGGGGAAGGGGAAAAAAAAGACTTGAACCAATTTTATGTCGGCCAAGTTGCAATGCTAGCATTTCTGCAGAGCCTAAAAGAGAGGCCACTGTAATTTAACAGTGAACAGCACTGACATCATTCATTATGCTCGTCTGCAGTTTTTATAGTTTAACCCAACTGTACAAAGGGATAAGACACACAGACAGGATCTGCCTTCTTTGCTTTAATAACATTTTAATTCAAGGGGGGGAAAAAGGAAATAAATAAAAAACAAAACATTGGAAACAGGACTGAAGGTGAGGTTTGGCTGAATGTCAGACTGACAAGATTCAGTCTGAAACCTCAGACTGCCAGCTACAATGCTCCACGGCCTTCAAACCACTAAAAAAAATAGAAAAATAAAAATAAAATGGTACAACTTCACCAAATCACTGAACTTCACAGTTATCTGCAGGCAACCGCATTAGCATGTTTTGCTGCAATGCTGATTTTGTGATGCAAGCTGAATTGGGCAGCCAGTCAAGCTTAACACACACTTTTTAACTGCTATTTGACTATTTGCGGACTATCTTGCATGTAGAGGGTATGAAAATGACACCATAAAGCTGTAAATTGCACTGTAATTCTATGCAATTATATACAAAGTTGCCTTGACTGTTTTTATCCGTTGCTACTGTGTTTGATGGTAGGGTGCAGTGTGAGGTATCAGACGTCTGACTGCAGCTTCACCTGCTCCACTCTGAAGATCAGTTCCTGTGTCCGTTCATTTACATAAACAGTAACATTCAAATTAATGTAGAAGCCCAAATCATCCCATGTATGCACAGGCTTGCCAAAATATGAGCACAGTGAGATAAAACAAGAATAAACAGGACAGCACACAGAATTCCATCCCTCTAATATGGCTTATTACTTCCCTTTCAACATCACATCTCATTCCATCAACCGTTTCAATTTATCACATGGGGCGAAGGTCTGCAGACTACAGGCTATTTTTGCCATTTATTAAAAAGCAAAGAACCCAATTCTATATTTCAGTGTTAAATTTTTTTTTTTTTTTTAAAGTGAAAATTTGAGTCCAGACACCAGGCTGACCGTTTTCTCGTAGCTTCAAATGCGTGCTCAGAATCACTTCTTCTGAGCCACAGATAAACAACTTCATTTAGGAGGAATTCAATTTGATTGGCTACATTTATGTGGGTTTTTTGGTTTTTTTATTTTGAAGGTGTGGGGACACAGGAAGTTTCATTATGTTGATAAAACAACATTAAAAACAACCTATTTTAATATTTATTTTGAATACAAAAAGAAAACTATTAAATGGAATTACACATGTAACATCATACTCATTTTTGTAGCTCCCTAGTTTCCCTAATAATATAATAAAAACCATCTGTAATTTTCTTAAATATCTTTAGGAAAGTAGAGGTAACTCTTAATTCTTAGCAGTTCACCCTAATCAGCGTTTAGTCTTAATGTTTGGCCTGTTTTCACAGGAAGAATCATAGAGACCGAAGGAGGGTGTGAATATAACCTCATGGACTTTTGCACTTTTAATCTAAAGTGATTAAAAAAACCCACCATGGTTCACAGTCTCAGCTAGTTGGAATTTCTCACTGAAATTACAAGCTTATGATTATGAGTGCAAAAGTATTTTTCCAAAGTACGGTTTCAGTTTGTCATCATTGCTAAACAATTCATTTGCTTCAAATGACTCTAATCAAAAAGGACAGGAGGGAAATTGCAAATTCAATGATTTGATTGTTTCCACAATAGCATGCAACAGCTACAGCAATGACTGGCAGCACAATCAGTGAACTGATGACCTTTAGGTGTAAATGAAGTTCATGTTTATTTAGATGAAATAATTTAGCTGCTATCAACAACCCTAGAAAACAATTCACCACGAGCCAGGTCTGGAAGTATAAATTTAGAGATGGTAATGCTACAAGTCCAAAGGATGTGACTGTGAGACCTGTGCCATGTTGACTACTGACCAGGACAGCAGTCCTCTGTTTGTGGAATCATTTGTCCTCATGGACCAGTGTCAGAGTTACAACAATTATAAAACTTAAAATCGGTAACTCATAAATCAATGAGTTTTCTTTAAATACCACGTTTCTAATGGTGCAAATGGATAAAAGAAGCACAGACAATGACCACCTTTCCCTTCATTGTAGGCACCCAGATAACAGAACAGCACTTGCTCACACATTTGTAGCACAATTTCAGAATCTTGAATGCAGAAGTGTAAAGAGGTTATGATCAGGAAAGAAATAAAATCAGCTTGCAAAATAAGAAAATCATCCACAGATCTGTGAGTGTAACACCACCAACATGTCTTGTTAGTCCAAAACAGTTCAATTTTTGTTGAATTAAATAAGTGAATAGACTATTTGGGGAGGGGGAGGGGGGGGTCCCACATTTTTGTCCACTGACAAGAAACAAAAAAAAAAGAAAAAAAGGGGGGGGTTAATGTGGTTTGTACTTCTGCTTGTGATTCCAGAGAGGTATCAGGTGGCAAGTTAACCTGGTCTGGAATTTTTCTTTCACCTGGCACTTTTTCAAATCTTGATGTTTGGTAACACAGTTCATCAGCAGGACAGACCCGCAGCAGCTTCTTTCCTGTGGTCCAGCAGTTGGTGCTGAGTAACATGCTTTTCATGCTTCCTCCGTTCCACACCTGGTTCTATATTTGGAACCAGTGAACCCAAAGCTAATCTGACTTAGTGCTTCTCAATTTGACGCGCCACAGTCTTTCATCGAGAATCAGGAACTCAAACCCAGCCTCTGTCACGGACAGCTTTCCCCACAGCGGAAAACAAAAGAATGAATATGGCTGCTCTGTAAAACTTACAAAAAAAGAATATCATACACCCATTTCATTATTTATTTAGAAAGCAAAAAAAAAGAAAAAAAGAAAAAGACACATGAAGCAGTGAACAGATTTCTGCAAGCTGGGATTAAGTCTGGAAAAGAAAGAATTTTTGTGACTTTCTTTCGTTTGTATGCAGGAGCGAGTCAAGAATTTAGTGTTCAGTCTGCCCAACTACACTGAGCATTTACAACCATCGTGTCTCAACTGAAAGCACTGTACAGTCTTTTGGGCTTCACAATGATGCTGACAGAGTTTGAGTGTGCACAGCTGTTTGTATACACTGGTCAAAGGGGTGTGTGTGTGTGTGTGTGTGTGTGTGTGTGTGTGTATACGCCTAATAGCTGTCACTGAATAAACCTGTATACTAGTCAGGAACTCTGAACACACCAGTATACTTGCCAGTGACCTCAAACAGAGCGTGCATATCTGTACACTTGTGTTCTGTTTGCTATGATCTTGAAGGTGCATCCTCAAAGCTGATGATGCTGGACTCTGGGTGCTGCACTCCACCCGAGGAAGGTGCTCCGCCACTTTGTGACATCAGTGATGAGGAGGTGGAGGAGAGGGAGGCACTGATGGCTCCCCCTGCTGTTCTTGGTGTGGAGGAGGGCTCACGTCCGCCTGGTAGGAGCGGCTGTGTGTCGGTTCTGACCTCGTCGTCATCGTCGTCTTCCTCGTCATCCATGCTGGGCCAAGCAGACTGGTCCTCTACGCGTTTTAGACGCTCGTTCAGAGCTTTCAGGGCCAGTTGTCTACAAGGATGACACAAAGAGAAATGCTTTGCTTCAATGATTTCAGGCCTCAAAACACTAAACTACTGACATAATAAAAAGAAGTGAGTAATGTGTCTCTATGGGATTCTTGTAGGAATTTTATACGTACACACTGAAGAGTCTTTAATGGTAAAGACTAAAAAGCTGATAATGTTGAACCATATTTAAATTCACCAAAATAAAAAATACATATAAAAAATGAGCAACATCTACCAAGTGGGCCCCTGAGGGAGTTCCAATAACTTGGCTTCAAGTATCTGACACAAGTTTGTGTGTCAGGCAACATCAGACTCAACCCAAACACTGCTTTTCTAACTGTAAAATAAAATGTGACTATTTGAATGGTGCCAAAAGAAAAGAAACATGTTTGCACTAGTCTAATCAGAATTGCACCCATTTTAACTGGGTGTAATTCTGATTAGACTACTTCATACTGCACTAATCTCACCTTTCCCTGCTTCCAACAACTACACCTATTGTCTCAAACACATCAGGGAGTAAGTGGAAACGAAATATCAGAAATTAAGATGATTATATCATTGTGCAATTAAAGCCTCCCAACAATTGTGACGCTGAACATTAAGAGAAACACAGAATCTGACAGGAAAAGCACCAATAGAGCTTTTCACTTGCGTCAACTCATTTTACCAAAGTTGGTGGTTAAGTCAAAAACTACCGCAAACGTACAAAACTACTGCTGACTCTTTGCTCTTCGTTTCCTCCATGGTGCATTACCTCTTATACTAGTTATGCCGAGGTGTGACGTAATAAACAAAGAATAAAGTCACACTGAATTGAGTAGATTGGCCACTGTCGTGACACCCAATCAAGCTTCTTGAGTCAAGATCGGACATGTCAAACTGAATCCATCCATTCCTAGTTATGACAAATCAATACTTACTAGAGCTACCTCACCAAATTTTCTGTTGTCTTTTAGGATTGCTTTTGTAAGTAGGAGTACCCATATCTAGACTTTGCTATTCTAGACAAAACTCACATGCCACACCCAGACTTTTCTTTGGTTAACTACATGGCTACTAACAACTACTGTAATATTGTAAAAAACTAAATAAATAACTGTATCATGTTAATGATACACAAGTGTTTAAATTAATATGCAATTCTTATTTTGTACATTTTTTACAGTTACGATTATGGTCTCTTCCCTTACTTTGTAAATTTGCCAAACATGACACCAAACACACACAATAAAGTATATTTTGTGGCTATCCCATTAACAATGTATTATTAATGAATGTGTATTGAGAGCCTGACATTTTAAGAGCCATAACTCAAACGTTCCCTTTTAATAGAATGGCATTAGAATGCCATTAGGAACCTATTCGCACCATTTATTTAATGATGCAGGGACTGTTAGAGTGTGGCCTTAACGTGGGCATTTTAGACCATAATTTGAAATATAAATAGATGAAGGCAAAAATAACATTTTATAGAACACTTTACTGAGACAAACTGAGGCTGGTTGTATTCAATGCTTCACTTTCAGTTTAGTGTATGAGGACATATGTTTACAGATGTAAATATTTAACTCCTCCTTGTTTGCGCTCACTCACCTCCTCCTTTCTGCATCCTGTGGGTCTGTCCCTGGTAAGCTGATGGTGATGGAGGAGGGCGCCCCCACGTCGTATCTCTTTACCATCTTCCTGCACACCTTCATCTTCACCAGGGCAGAGTGGACGAGCCCTGCCAGCAGTCCCACAGCTGGCTGCACTGCCTCTGGGAAGAAACTTGCGAAGGCAAAGTGGTCTGACATGTCGCCGCGGCCCCGGCTGTGCCTCTGGTAGAAGCGCAGGTAGACCCATCCAGACAGTGCACCATAACTGTATGAAGCCAGGGGAGCGGAGCTGTCAAGCAATCCAGACAGGCGCAATAAAGCCAGGAAGAGGAGGACCAAAGCTGGTGCTGCTTTGAGCCTCACCTGAAAGGAACAGAAAGACTTCAGTTCTGGTGGCCAAAATCATCGAGGAAGCTACCATTTTATAAAAACTTGTTGGCTCGCAGTTCTCACAATCTCTTTAAGTGAGTTAGATTTAGGAATGGGGAAAACCAACTGGTTAGATGCCGGGTAACAGGCAGAAGTCACAGTCAAAGTGTTTCAACAAATGTTTCAACAAAGTTCCTAACCTGGTCAATTGAGACCAAGAGAGATTTGAGAAGTGACCCAGTTTCACTCAAACTCGCAACAAGCACAAAAAGCAAAAATGAGGGCAAACTAAGGCAGAATGGCCAAGATGTTTCAGAAACATATTGGGAACATGCCGCTAAAGTGTGTCTCAGCAAGAAAAACTGAAAACCTTATCTGGACACAGCTGCTCTGCAGACGAGCAGGAAACTAAACCCTAAAATGTAAATTAAAAGACTGCACTGTAGTCCAAATGTCGAAGAAAATCGAACACAGGCCAACTGGAGAAGACGCTCAACACCTCAGTCTGTAAACTACATGTGCTTACACAGTGATAACTTATGACCATATAATGCCATTAAGAGCAAAAACTAGTGACAAAATGACACTTGGATGAATGAAACCTCTGAAAACGTTTCACGTTTGCAACATGATTTTTAAATTAATATACAGATGGTAGAAATATGACAATTAAAAAAAGTTATGTCCCTCCTCCAGCATAAACTACAAACAGACCACTTTTACAGACTTTGGGAAGACGACTTACAAGTGTTACAGTTAAGGCAATAAATCTGTGATATCTAGCTGACAGAAATCTATGTTTTGTTTTGTTTTTATTTATCACTTGATACAAACACAGCCCTGTGACTGACTGGTGACCTGTTATGGTCAGTCACCTCACAACCCTGAGTTTGAAAAGTTGAAGTGGATGGATGAATGGATAAAGTCCAAATAACAGATCTCTGTAAAAGATCTGGCATTCCCCTCTGCGGAGGGGGTGCCAAAACTTCTCTATGCAGGAAAAAAGTACTTTTTAGCCAACAGTACATCCTGTTCCATGTCTTTTGGCAAAGTGAAAGGTAAGAGAAAGAACCACCTGAATTTTGCATTATAAAACCACAAATGATAACACATATCAAACAAAGCCAGCGATTTTACACTGTACTCCACCATATACATTTGGTTTTATTCTTCAATATATGCACTCCTATCAAAACCAGAAATTCCAACTTTCATCCAGTCTAAAAAAGTGATTTTGAGACACTAAATCTTACATATCTACTAATAATTAATCACTGCTGCACATCTAATGGCAAAGCAAGCAGTCTGCAGGTAATACTCCTAAGCTTGTATTAATCCAGATAATAATTAATAATAATAAATAATAATAATAATAATAATAATAATAATAATAATAATAATAATAATAATAATAATAATTCGACATTGACTGGTGTTATATTGATCTGTCATGTCCAAAAAACAGAGTTTATGCACATATTCTAGAGACTAGTGGTTAGCTTTCCGTTGTTATTTGTGCAGTGGTTAGGGTACATACTCAGTTCATCTTTACGCCTTTTTACCCCACCCTCTCTTATTAATTAGGCTCACCTGTGGCACTCTGAGCACTGTAGTATCCCCCATGGTCTGCTTCAGCGCCACCAGGACACCTCCCAGGAATCCGGCTGCTCCATGGACACGCACAGCAAACAGGAAGTCCAGGTCAAAGGTAGCCACATAGGTGAGGAGGTAGGAGAAGCCTGCTAACAGGCCTGCAGACACGTTAACCACTGCGAAAAAGATCAGGAGCTCCAGAGCACCCCACAAAGGCTCCAGCAGGCGCCCACAGGCCATTACTGTCCCCACATTGGCTGCCACACCCCAGACGTGCTGCTCCACCACTCCATGGGTTACCAGCGTCCACACCCAAAAGTTGGGTGGAAAAAGGTAGCCCGGGGTCACCCCCAATGCGTATGGAGTGTTGACAGCCCATGAAAGCAGGTACAGCAGTACTACTAGAGCACTTATAGCTTTTACTACTACACTGGTGCTGGCAAGGGCAGCCAGGAAGTGCTGTCGTGCCACGGGCAGGTAACGATTCATTGTGGTCAGTTATGAAGAAGGTCCTCTTTGAGCAACTTGGCCCAAAAGAGTTAAAAAAGCAGAACTAGTTGCCTGTTGTTGTAGCAGTTCTTGAATAACGGAGAGAGGTCAATGATGCCAAGCAGAACAGGAGACACCCGTGGGTCCTGACAGCATCAAAATCCACACTTCTCTGTGAGCCTTCATCCGGATAATGTCTGTGAAGTGGGCATAGGCAGCTTTAGTAATCAATACAGTTAGCTTCTACTCTTCCTGCAAACGTTTGTTAGCAATTGTATTAAAACTCATTAAGGGAGTTTGAAGCGTTACAGCTCATCTACCCTTCAAAAGGAACAGTACAGTGGAAAACAAGCAAAAACGCTGATTCTTACAGTTTAACAAAGTAACAAACTTTGGGCTTCAGTAGCTGGGGCATTTTAATCAAGCTGGCGACCTTCAGTCGGTGTAGACAAAAGTAGGGCAAGCTTACAAATCACCACCAGTTACCAGACAGGTGCTAGGAGCCAAATATGCCAACAATAAGAGAAGCAAAAATAGCCAAGTAGTAATTTCTTAAGAGCAGTCTGGCTGAGCTAGCTTGTAAACACTGATAGCTGAGGCTAGCTAGCTGTCAAACTGACAGTGTATCCAAGTACTTTACTCTATGTCCACTGAAGATCAGAAGAGGTTTCGTGTGAGTGTAAAACAGAACAGCTAGGGCCAGTAAAACCTGGTCGATGAAAAAGCCCACCGAGCCCCAGTTCTTAGTCCTCTCGGCCCGGGCTAGCCTGAGGGTTTCCCGTCGCTAGCAACAGGCCCTCAAAACAATATTAAAGACGTTCCCGGACCAGCGTCAGCTCTCATATAGTTCATAGTCTTTCTCATACGACCCTAGCTTCATTGGTTTATTTTAATGTTCTTCTCTCCTTACAAAGCAGGTTGCCAGACAAAATTATGTTACCTTTCCAGGCACTTCTCCTCCCAGAAAACACCACACAGCGAACTGACCTGCGCTGTCTGCCACCGTCATCAACAATCGGTGAAAAATCGCCGTCGCGTAACTTCCGGACAGCATAGCACTCTGGGATACTGAGTTTTTACACAATCATTTCCATAAAACGAGTCTGTAAATGATGACTTTCGTTTGCCTACGGTGAAAACTATTTCATTTAGTTTACATTTACTTATATACGCTATTTAATTTGCACTATATTTTAAGTTAAATATTTCACTTTTTTTAAATCTTGCCTTTATAGTACTTTTACTTTAACCCTTTGAGGTTCACACCAAGAAAATTGCAATTAAAAATTATTGTGTTATTTTAACTCGATTAAGTGTTGAACTAACTCGGAATTCAACTAACACTGAAAAATCAACAGTGGCATTTTTGCTGTGAAGGAGTGTTAAATACCTGAATTATGACTGAAAAACAAATAAAAACAACCAGAGACATATGCAGTGATAGTTATTGTGTTTTAGGGTCATCCAAAAAATAAGTACTACCACACTTACTCAATTTTCCATTTCACTCCATTGCACATTTGAAGTGGAAATCCATACAGTACATACAAGTAAATAACACAGAAAACCAGCCCAAAGCTGAAGTTTACATCTCTCTTGCGGCTTCGGTGGAAATGTTCAGCGATCATATTTGTGGAAGCTTGTTTCTGGCCTAGATTTTTTTTTCCTACATCGCTTCGTTCTTGAGTAACCTTGTTCACAGAATTTTCAGAACTTCACCTCTTGGACGCTTGGGCGTCTACACTGCCTTTTACACCTGAGGGGTAAACGTCTGCTTGTTTTGAAAGTTTCTCCCACACACAAGTAGTATGAAGTAGAACATGCAAAGCTGACCTAAACAAACTGAAGCCTGATTTGACCCTCCGTGTTACATCGAGTCAGTGTCACCAAAACGGAATAATCAGATCACAAACTAGTCACTAGCATGTATGAGGTGAAAGAAATCAATAGAGTAAAACTATCAAATTCACTTGAGCTTTTTTACTTTCTTAAAACTGCACCATTTTTTCTGTTTTGCTACTATGAGCTTATTTATTTGAACCTCCTGGTTTTTATTATTATTATTATTATTGTTATTATTATTATTATTATTATCTACAGTTAAATTAGTGTAACTTACTCTTCATGACAGAGGCAACAGTAAAACCTGACTATTTTATATTTAGAGTGAATATGTATCTCAATTTTAAAGAATAATAGACCTAAATGACTTAAGGGTCTATCTAACTTAAGAGAAACCTACTATTTGAAGTGCTTCAGGCATTTTAACGCAATTAAAAACTCACTTAGAATCCTTCTATCCCTAACTTCAAGTCTCACTTTAGATTACACATGCATAAAATTGAAGATTAACATGCAAAACTGAGTTACTTCGAGACAAATATACTGCAGCACCTCTTCCAAGTGTGTCTTCTTCAAATCTGTTGTAAGATTTAGATGTCCTCAGTTGCCTGTGTGTATGTGTGAGTCTCTGTGTGTGAATAACAAATAAAGAGGGCAAGCACTGCATTGGTCACCGCTGATATAAACAAAGTAGGAAGAGTATGATTTAGAACATGTTTCTTTTTATTTACAAATTTCAAAAAACAAAAATGATGTAATCCAAAGTCATACACCATTGTCCACACAACAAGCTTTGACTGGAGCCAATCCTCAAAGACAGCAGATTTAATCTTCACCTCGGCTAAAATGGAATTCAGACAGTCGGCTCTGCTTGCCCGACCACCTCGATTTGTATAAATAAATATGTAAATTCAAGTAGAAAGCTGTGAAACTAAAGAGCAGTCAGTCTGCGCAGCAAATGCTGAGCTGACAACCAAACAGTTCAACACTGAGGAAAACTTGCCGTTTTGCCATCACAGGGGTGATGACACGCCTGGACAATTCTGGTGATATGGTAATACAACACAGAAAAGGGGAGAAGCACATAATATTGTTTTTTTATTGTTGTTGTTTTGCTTTCTTTTTCCAGATGATAAGTGGGTTGGGCTGCCTCGGTTTCTGACCCATTACTTGTGATTGAGCTAGCATGCACATAAATGGCTCATTTAGCTCAGATTCAATACTAAAATTTGCATCTATATTATCTGAGCGCACATAAATAGGAAATGATTTCAACACTGTGCAGTCGTTGAATATCCCTGGTGACAGTTTTTTGGTTTTTCCATATTAAACGGCTGATCAGTTATTAGATATGATTTTAACTCTATGCTATCCTGGATATTAATGTGCTTAATAACACATTGGTTGGTCCACATCAAAGTTCTGCACAGTTTCACATGTGTTGGGTCAGACTGGCTTATCATTAGTTCTTAAAAAAGAAAAACTGTAGTAACAACACTAATATGACTGTAAAAATCTTACAAACAAGATAGCGATGAAACAAATGAAACCAAAAAGACATTGTAAAAAAATAAAAATACAAATGAATAAATATACACCGTCATAAATAAATTAATTTGGTAAATTCAAACATTGTAGAGAGCAAAAATGAAACACAAGTAAACTTACAGTTTCAGTATGGAGAACAAACACATGGAAGAGGGAAAAAAGGACAGGTAATGCTGAGTCTTAACTTGATGTTGTTTCATCTTTAACAAAAGAGCTTGTGGTTTTTAAAGCTCTTCCTGCAGCTGTTTAGGCCGAGGGGGGTCAGCTGGAACAGCAGATTGATGGTTTACATCTAGAACCGGACCGATGCCGATATTGGTACCGATATTGTTTACTGATACATCGGATTTGAGGATTTAAAAATCTCATATATCAGCCGATATTTGTTTCCTTTCACGCACAGAAAACAAACAGATTTCCCTAAGATTTTTTATTTATAGCTATTTATGAGTCTTGACCAACATCCAACCCTGCAGTTTAAAAATAATATTGTTTTATTGTCACAAGTAGCGGATTGCTCTTTGTTGCTCTACCCAACAATCATCTGATCTGCTAGTAGTTCCAAACACGTGTTACCTGCGAGTGCAGACTGTCCTCTGGTGGACAAACTATGCAACCCCCACCCCAAAATCTCTCATTTGAATTTTCCATTCATCATCCATTATAAATGCCAAAACTGAAATATTGGCAAAAAATTTATATCGGCTGATATACACAATATATAGGTCGGCCTCCATTTATAGCAAATTTAAAGGGGAAATTGGTCACACTATGAAGATTTTCTAGCTTTCACCCAGTCAAACACAGATTTGTATCTTTTTACAGTGTAAAAATGGATATGTACTTCTCAACTGTAGCTGCGAGGATGCTGTAGAGAGAGTGTGTTTCTGCAATGGATTGTTTTTATTTTTTATCTGCTCTGCATTATTTGGTCTCTTAAGACACAATCCTCTTTGATGGAGGTTTCAGATGTGCCGTTTCCTTCTTTTTCCTTTTGGCAAAGCTACATCATCTCTCCCTAAAAAAAACAGGTTTGGTTTCACATTGACCTCTGTTCATGAAACGAGATGAAACAGAGAAAGAAAAAGGAAAAACAGCAGAGCAGAGGTGAAATCTCTCTCAGAACACGTTACCAAACCGAGTAACATGAATCTAAATTTTTTCTTTTCTTTTTTTAATGATTCCTTTTGCAACCCTTAAAAACACAACAAGCAGTTACAAACACAGTAATAACACGAGCGTTCCTCTGGGGTTGTACAAATACATATATAGGCTTGAGTGAGTGTTTTGCATCGTTTTTCACTAGGCTACAGTAAGACTGTGGGTGAGATTCAGAGAGCCACGGCGACTGTCTGTCTCTCTTTACCTCGCCTCTCTCACAGTTAACATTCAGAAAGATGGAGGCAAAAAGGCATTTTCTGTTGGTTGTTTCTCCGCTACAAGGAGGACACCTCACTGGGACACAGTTTATTTTTTTCCTCATTTTCACCTGGCTGTCGTTTTTTTTTTAGGCAATCAGAGATTACATAAATAGAAAAAACACGCACAAAAAGAAGAAAAACAAATCTTCCCACATCTGATGCCTAAAGAGAAGGAGTCTTTTCAAAAAGGCCCGGTGTAAAGGCATTTGATTAAGCGTACATTCTTTCATTAGTTTTTAAAGTTTCAGTGAATATCTTTAACCTCATCCTCAAAGCACAACTGTTTCTTCAGTATTTCAATGTGATCCCACATCTGTTGTGTGTTCTTTCAAGAACAAAATCCTACAATACAGCTGTCCTGGCAGTGAGTTATTATTACGTTCAGTCAAAAACGCTCTCTAAAACTTCTGTGTGATCTTGTAACCGTTGCGTTTGCTGTTTTAAGAAGTGTTCAGTAGCAACAAGTGATGGACGATGCCATTTCAGTTATGAAATAAACTGTGCTACCAGCTAATGTAATAGCAAAACCTGTTTCACAAGCAACTCCAGCTCCTCTTTTTAATTAGCTGAAAGCAAAAGTCTTGACACTTAGCAAAGCTGCAGAGCTAGTATCTCTAAAAGTCAACAGTATAACTAGTGGCCGCTTGTGGTCACTATAGGCCCATACTCAGCAGTACTCAGTCCAGTGATAAGCATCTTAATGCCGGCATTGGACAAAAAAAAAGGAAAAAAAAAGAACATTTTTTTTGGAAGCTCAAAATCCTCAAACTTTTATTTTCTCCATCCCTTTGGAGGGTTTTTAAGCCTTTATCAGGATTCTTCTTCTGATATTCAGCATCACGATTATCTCTCTCTGTCCAGTCACTGTTAAATCCCCATTCAGACCATTTCTTCAAGGCAAGTAGAGATGTTCAGGAGAAACACTTCAGCAGGGCCTCAGATCTCAACACTTTAAATGTCTGTCATTTTTTCCTCATTTCATTTAATTTAATTTCATCTTGGCCTCTTGGAAACCTGCATCCTGGCAAATGGGCTGCCATTATATTTTATGGTGACTATTACAATTTCTGAAAGCATTCTCACAAAAGGACATCATTCTTTTGTCACTGTCCCCTCACCTCAATTACATCATCTTCATCTGAGCTGCTGATGCTGCTGACATTCCCGCTGTTCACCAGCACCGGGCCTCGCTGGCCCTCGGACCGAGCTGAGGGGGAGAAGGAAGAAGGGGAAGATGAGGAGGAGCTGGATGCAGCAGTAGGAGGGTATTGGGACAAGAAACTGGCTCCAGCTGGGCCGGGAGTAGCAGCTGGGCCCGACACCCCTCCTGGGAGCATTGAGCTGGTGTAGAGGCTCGCCAGAGATGGACTATATGACAGAGGGAAGCCGGGTGGGAGCATCCCAGCCATGCCTGGCATGTTGGAGCTCAGCATGAATGGTGGCAAGGCTCCTGAAAGTGAACTGGCAGCTTTGACTGATGGAGAGGATGATGATGTTGAGGAGGAAGATGAGACGGTGGGAGCGGTGGTTGTCATCAGTGATGAGGAAGGAGAGGAAGTGGGAACAGTGCCATCTCCACCCATGTTCCACCCATGCCGATCTGGGTACATGTAACTGGCGTCGCTCAGCTGAGCGTGGGGGGGCTGGAAGTAATGTGAGCCTGCCCCCATGAAGAGCGGATGCCCCAGTGAACCACCCAGCATGGCAGAGTTTAGACCCATAGGGGGGAGCCCATAGCCCCCAGTGAAGGGGAAGCCCTGCGAGGCCACAGGGGCTGAGGAGTGCTTGCCGGCAGAAGGCTGCTTACTGGCCCGCTCATCCAAGGATGGGGTGGAGGCTTTGCGCTTGGAGCCCGTTCTTAGATCTTGGGCGGCAGTGGCATCCATGTTGGGCTGAATGACATTAGTCACAGAGGCATCATGGTGGCTCAGATTTCCACTTAATAACTCGCTCCCACCGCTGCCATTGGTCTGAACCAGTTTGGATGAGGGCAGGCTGCTCACGCTGCTCTCTGGCGGATGAGCAGCAGAGCCTGCTGACCCACCAGCTCCTGCGCCGCCCGTATAGCGCTGCAACTCATTAATGATCTCCGGGCTGTCGGGGGAAAGAGGGCGGGGCACAGTCTTGGGTGACAGGCAACCGTTACTGACATGGGTGGGAACCTCTGGAGGGGGTGCTTGCAAATCTGAGGAGAAAAGAATTGGATTTAAGCTTTACAAGAATTCAAGCATCAACACGGCCTCAGTTTACTGAAAGAATACAATAAAGTCATTAATATCAGTGTGCTACATCTCTGACATGGTACGTAAATACAGTAACTAGGGTTACATGCTTTCAGAGGAGTTATTGTAAGGGAATCATCCTACCTTTGGGTGGTGCTGTTGAACTCTCCTCCACTGACTTGGCCTTATTAGCTGCTCTGATGGCAAAGATTCGGCCATCAGATGTCCTGATGTAAGTCCCTATGAAAGCCACAGGTAAACAAAACCGTTATTAGAATTAAATGAAAACATTTCATTATTACATCTTTTTACCCGACTAACTCGACAAATACCAAAAGTTTTTTTTAATAATCTCTTCAATAATAACAAAAACAGCTGGAACAAGGACACGTTCACACAATTACCTGCATTTTGTGACCAACGCACAAAAGAACTGACATGTATAGCAAAGCGGTATTGTACCTTTAGTGCCCCTGATGACATGGATACTCTCTCCAGCGGTGATCCTGGCCTGGACATCTGTGGAGTTGTTGGTGCCTGGAATCACTATGTCTATAAAGAGATAAAGAAAGACAATCAAAGTTTAAGGCCATAAAGAAATAGTAATCTTTAGTACTGACAGAAAGAATAGAGATAAAATGGAGTGCATGGAGAATCTGCTTACCAGTGGTGGTGACAATTTTCTGTACAAACACGCCAGCTTTCTGCAGGCAGTTGACAGGGAAGCCTCCGAGGCTGCATTTAGAAGAGTCATTGCCTGGGGCGGAGCTTGCAGATGCCTGGCGGGGCATCATAGAGACTGGAGTTGACTGGACTGGCCTGACACTGGCCACTGGTTTCTCTTCAGTGCTAGTGGGAGGACGCCTGAATAGACAGAGATTTTCTGTTTTTTACTCTTGATTTATGACTTGTCTTTATTTTTTTGAAGGAGGGTTTACTTGATAAATGCTCAACCTTTTAAAAAGATTATGAGACAAGTGATAAGAACTGGATTTACGGTAGCTTGTTAGCATACATACTGGGATTGTAGATGTCAATTACTAACCAGTTTCTCTGGCTAAAGGCAGGGATGTTGGTAAGGCTCTGATCACTGGCAGGGTAATAGTGAGCGTAGGAAGGGCGGGTGTATGGCACCGAGGCCCTCTTTTCATCCTCGTAGCCCTTCTTTGCTGCTTTCTTCTCTGCGTTGCTCAGCTTCAGCTCCCTGCGGTCTATCAGCAAGGACTCGTGGGGGAATGGTTGCTAGAAAGGAAGAGGTTGAAAGCTGATCAGTGTCCTGCTCCAAGTTTGCACGATTACCTCACTTATGATGACTTCATCCTATACATTTATATTTTTGCCAGCTTATACCAATTCAATTGAATAAAATTCACGAGAAT